CTCCCGTACAAAGCAAGCTCCTGGACCAGGCAAGCTCTTGGATCAGGCAGGCTCGTGGACCAAGCAAGCTCCTGGACCAAGCAAGCTCCTGGACCAGGCAAGCTCTTGGACCAGGCAAGCTCCTGGACCAGGCAAGCTCCTGGACCAGGCAGCTCATGGACCATGCATGCTCTTGGACCAGGCAAGCTCTTGGACCAGGAAGGCTCGTGGACCAAGCAAGCTCCTGGACCAGGCAAGCTCCCGGACCAGGCAAGCTCCTTTACCAGGCAAGCTCTTGGACCAGGCAAGCTCCTAGACGAGGCACGCTCGTGGACCATGTACGCTCCTGGACCAGGCAAGCTCTTGGACCAGGCAGGTTCGTGGACCAGGCAGGCTCCTGGACCACGCAAGCTCCTTGACCAGGCAAGCTCCTGGACCAGGCAAGCTCCTGGACCAGGCTCGCTCGTGGACCAGGCACATTCCTGGACCAGGCACGCTCTTGGACCAGGCAAGCTCGTGGATCGGGCACGCTCCTGGACCAGGCCAGCTCCTAGACCAAGCCAGCTCCTAGACCAAGCAAGCTCCTGGACCAGGCACGCTCTTGGACCAGGAAAGCTCCTGGACCAGGCAAGCTCCTGGACGAGGCAAGCTAACGGACCAAAAAAGCTCTTGGACAAGGCAAGCTTCTGGACCAGGCACGCTCCTGGAACAGGCAAGCTCCTAGACCTGGCAAGCTCCTAGACCAAGATAGCTCCTGGACCACGCTCGCTCCTGGACCAGGCACGATCCTGGACCATGCAAGCTCCTAGACCAGGCAAGCTCCTGGACCAGGTAAGCTTCCGGACTAGGCAAGCTCTTGGACCAGGCAAGCTCCTTGACCAAGCAAGCTCCTGGACCAGGCAAGCTCCTAGACCAGGCATGCTCATGGACCCCGCAAGCTCTTGACCAGGCAAGCTCTTGACCAGGCAAGCTCTTGACCAGGCAAGCTCTTGACCAGGCAAGCTCTTGACCAGGCAAGCTCTTGACCAGGCAACCTATTGACCAGGCAAGCTCCTGGACCAGGCACGCTCCTGGACCGGGCAAGCTCCTAGACCAGGCAAGCTCTTGGACTAGGCACGCTCCTAGACCACGCAAGCTCTTGGACCAGGCAGGCTTCTGGACCAAGCAAGCTCCTGGACCAGGCACACTTCTAGACTAGGCACGCTCCTGGACAAGGCAAGCTCTTGGACTAGGCAAGCTCCTGGACCATGCAAGCTCCGAGACCAGGCAAGCTCCTGGACCAGGCACGCTCATGGACCAGGCAAGCTCCTAGACCAGGCAAGCTCTTGGACTAGGCACGCTCCTGGACCACGCAAGCTCTTGGACCAGGCAGGCTTTTGGACCAAGCAAGCTCCTGGACCAAACAAGCTTCTGGAGCAGGCAAGCTCCTGGACCAAGCTCGCTCGTGGACGAGGCGCGCTCCAAGACCACGCACGCTTTTGGACCAGGCAAGCTCGTGGACCAGGCACGCTCTTGGACCACGCAAGCTCCTAGACCAAGCAAGCTCATGGACCAGGTAAGCTCGTGGACCAGGCACGCTCCTAGACCAGGCAAGCTCCTAGACTAGGCAAGCTCGTGGACCACGCAAGATCTTGGACCAGGCACGCTATTGGACCACGCAAGCTCTTGGACCAGGCAGGCTTCAGGACCAAGCTAGCTCCTGGACCAGGCAAGCTCGTGGACCAGGCAAGCTTCTGGACCAGGCAAGCTCTTGGATGAGGCACGCTCGTGGACCACACAAGCTCTTGGACCAGGCAAGCTCCTGGACCAGTCAAGCTCTTGGAACATGCAAGCTCCTGAACCAGGCAAGCTCCAAGACTAGGCAAGCTCTTGGACCAGGAAAGCTCCTGGACCAGGAAAGCTCTTGGACCAGGCAAGCTCCTGGACCAGGCAAGCTCGTGTATAAGGCACGCTCCTGGACCAGGCAAGCTCCTAGACCAGGCAAGCTCCTGGAACACGCAAGCTTTTGGACCAGGCAAGCTCCTGGACCAGGCAAGCTCTTAGAGCAGGCAAGCTCCTGGACCAAGCAAGCTCCTAGACTAGGCAAGCTCATGGACCAGGCAAGCTCCGGGACCGGGCAAGCTCCTAGACCAGGCAAGCTCCTGGACCAGGCAAGCTCTTGGAACAAGCACGCTCGTGGACCAGGCACGCTCTAGGACCAGGCAAGCTCTTGGACCAGGCAAGATCCTAGACCAGGCAAGGTCCTGGACCAGGCAAGCTTCTGGACCACGCAAAGTCGTGGACCAGGCATACTCCTGGACCAAGCAAACTCCTGGACCAGGCAAGCTCGTGGACCACGCAAGCTCCTGGACCACGCAAGCTCTTGGACCAGGCAAGCTCCTGGACCAGGCAAGCTCGTGGACCAGGCAAGCTTCTGGACCAGGCAAGCTCGTGGACCAGGCAAGCTCGTGGACCAGGCAAGCTCCTGGACTGGGCAAGCTCATGGACTAGGCAAGCTCGTGGACCAGGCAAGCTCCTGGTCCAAGCAAGCTCCTGGACGAAGCAAGCTCGTGGACCAGGCAAGCTCGTGGACCAGGCACGCTCCTGGACCAGGCAAGCTCCTAGACCAGGCAAGCTCCTGGAACACGCAAGCTTTTCGACCAGGCAAGCTCCTGGACCAGGCAAGCTCTTAGAGCAAGCAAGCTCCTGGACCAGGCAAGCTCCTAGACCAGGCAAGCTCCTAGACCAGGCAAGCTCCTGGACCAGGCAATCTCCTGGACCAGGCAAGCTCCTGGACCAAGCAAGCTCGTGGAATAGGCAAGCTTCTTGACCAAGCAAGCTCCTGGACCACACAAGCTCGTGGACCAGGCACGCTCAAGGACCAGGCACGCTCCTGAACCAGGCAAGCTCTTTGACCAGGCAAGCTCCTGGACCAGGCAAGCTCGTGGACCAGGCAAGTTCCTGGACCAGGCAAGCTCGTGGACCAGGCAAGCTCGTGGACCAGGCAAGCTTCTGGACTGGGCAAGCTAATGGACCAGGCAAGCTCGTGGACCAGGCAAGCTCCTGGACGAAGCAAGCTCGTGGACCAGGCAAGCTCGTGTATAAGGCACGCTCCTGGACCACGCAAGCTCCTAGACCAGGCAAGCTCCTGGAACACGCAAGCTTTTGGACCAGGCAAGCTCCTGGACCAGGCAAGCTCTTAGAGCAGGCAAGCTCCTGGACCAAGCAAGCTCCTAGACTAGGCAAGCTCATGGACCAGGCAAGCTCCTGGACCGGGCAAGCTCCTAGACCAGGCAAGCTCCTGGACCAGGCAAGCTCTTGGAACAAGCACGCTCGTGGACCAGGCACGCTCTAGGACCAGGCAAGCTCTTGGACCAGGCAAGATCCTAGACCAGGCAAGGTCCCGGACCAGGCAAGCTTCTGGACCACGCAAAGTCGTGGACCAGGCATACTCCTAGACCAAGCAAACTCCTGGACCAGGCAAGCTCGTGGACCAGGCAAGCTCCTGGACCACGCAAGCTCTTGGACCAGGCAAGCTCCTGGACCAGGCAAGCTCGTGGACCAGGCAAGCTTCTGGACCAGGCAAGCTCGTGGACCAGGCAAGCTCGTGGACCAGGCAAGCTCCTGGACTGGGCAAGCTCATGGACCAGGCAAGCTCGTGGACCAGGCAAGCTCCTGGTCCAAGCAAGCTCCTGGACGAAGCAAGCTCGTGGACCAGGCAAGCTCGTGGACCAGGCACGCTCCTGGACCAGGCAAGCTCCTAGACCAGGCAAGCTCCTGGAACACGCAAGCTTTTCGACCAGGCAAGCTCCTGGACCAGGCAAGCTCTTAGAGCAAGCAAGCTCCTGGACCAGGCAAGCTCCTAGACCAGGCAAGCTCCTGGACCAGGCAAGCTCCTGGACCAGGCAATCTCCTGGACGAGGCAAGCTCCTAGACCAGGCAAGCTCTTGGACCAGGAAAGCTCCTGGATTAGGCAAGCACCTCGACCAGGCAAACTCGTGGACCAGGCACGCTCCTGGACCAGGCAACCTCCTGGACCAGGCAAGATCCTAGACCAGGCAAGGTCCTGGACAAGGCAAGCTTCTGGACCACGCAATGTCGTGGACCAGGCATACTCCTGGACCAAGCAAACTCCTGGACCAGGCAAGCTCCTGGACCAGGCAAGCTCTTGGACCAGGCACGCTCGTGGATCATGCAAGCTCTTGGACCAAGCAAGCTTTTGGACCAGGCAAGCTCCTGGACCAGGCAAGCTCCTTGACCAGGCAAGCTCGTGGACCAGGCACGCTCCTGGACCAGGCAAGCTCCTGGACCACGCAAGCTCCTGGACCAGGCAAGCTCTGTGACCACGCAAGCTGCTAGACCAGGCAAGGTCCTAGACCAGGCAAGCTCCTCGACCTCGCAAGCTCCTGGACCAGGCAAGCTCTTGGACCAGGAAAGCTCCTGGACCACGCAAGCTTCTGGACCAGGCAAGCTCTTGGACCAGGCAATCTCTTGGACTAGGCAAGTACTTGGACCAGGAAAGCTCTTGGACCAGACAAGCTCGTGGACCGGGCACGTTCCTGGACCAGGCAAGCTCCTAGACCAGGCAAGCTCTTGGACCAAGCAAGCTCCTGGACCAAGCAAGCTCCTGGACCAGGCAAGCACGTGGACTAGGCACGCTCGTGGACCAGGCACGCTCCTGGACCAGGCAAGCTACTGGAACACGCAAGATTTTGGACCAGGCAAGCTCCTGGACCAGGCAAGCTCTTAGAGCAGGCAAGCTCCTGGACCAGGCAAGCTCCAAGACCAGGCAAGCTCCTAAACCAGGCAAGCTCCTAGACCAGGCAAGCTCCTAGACGAGGCAAGCTCCTGAACCAGGCAAGCTCCAGGACCAGGCAAGCTCCTAGACTAGGCAAGCTCATGGACCACGCAAGCTCCTGGACCACGCAAGCTCCTGGACCAGGCAAGCTCCTGGACCAGGCAAGCTCCGTGACCACGAAAGCTGCTAGACCAGGCAAGGTTCTAGACCAGGCAAGCTCCTGGACCAGGCAAGCTCATGGACCATGCACGCTCCTGAACGAAGCAAGCTTCTAGACCAGGCAAGCTCCTGGACCACGCAAGCTCTTGGACCAGGCAAGCTCTTCGACCAGGCAAGCTCCTGGACCAGGCAAGCTCTTGGACCAGGCAAGCTCCTGGACCAAGCAAGCTCTTGGACCTGGCAAGCTCGAGGACTAGGCACGCTCGTGGACCACGCAAGCTCCTATACTAGGCAAGCTCCTAGACCAGGCGAGCTCCTGGACATTGTCGTGGACGTGGACGTGGACGTGGACATTGTCGTGGACGTGGTCGTGGACGTGGACGTGGACGTGGACGTGGACGTGGACGTGGAGGACTTGGACGTGGAGATGGACGTGGACATGGACGTGGACGTGGATGTGGACGTGGACATGGACGTGGACGTGGACGTGGATGTGGACGTGTACGTGGACGTGGACGACTTGGACGTGGACGTGGACGTGTACGTGGACGTGGACATGGACGTGGACGTGGACATAGACGTAGACGTGGACGACCTGGACGTGGACATGGACGTGGAAGTGGACGTGGACGTGGAGGTGGACGTGGACGTGGACGTGGACATGGACGTGGACGTGGAGGTGGACGTGGACATGGACGTGGTCGTGGACGTGGACGTGGACGTGGACGTAGACGTGGACATGGACGTGGAGGACGTGGACGTGGAGGACGTGGACGTGGACGTGGACGTGGACGTGAACGTGGACATGGACGTCGGGGTTGAGAAGATAACTACTACAACGGGAGCTTAGAGTACTGGCTAGGCACGTGTGCTCGTGTGATGTCTGCGTTCGTTGGTCCTTAGACGTTTTCCTAGTGCTCACACTGGTTGCTAGTTCACGGGGCAATTTGGCAAGAGTTTCACTAGAGAAAGTTGTCAATAATAGTCCAATGAAGTTGGCAATGCAAGACTACATCAGAGCTAGCATTCAGGTTGGTCGACTGCCAGCACAGCATGGTCGACCGCGTTCCAGCACGACTTGGTCGACCACGCTACAGCAGTGCAAAGTCGACAGCTTGCCAACGCTGCAGGTTGACGGTGTGCCAGCATTGCTCACGTAGGACAGCAGTGCACCCGCTTTGCAGGTGCGCGCAGATGATTGGCATGCAAAGTCTCGTCACCTGCACAGCGCACACACCACGTCAACCTCGGGCTAGCGACTGCCTCTGATCCGCCACGACGACCTCAGGATACCACCATGGAGGTCGGTCTCGCCAACTTCGCCTGGGTGACCGTCGCACTCCTTCACAGAAACTCGTCACCCAGGTATCCTGGTCGACCGGGCAACTATGTCGACCAGCTGCTCCTGTATGTGCTCGTCGACCTCCCAAGTCGACAACCACACCAGGTCGACCTCACCAGGTCGACCACTCCTCCGGTCGACCAGATCCAGGTCGACGTCACTCCTGGTCGACCAGTGCAGTTGTCAGCTACCCAAGTCGGCGTCACCAGGTCGACGCCCCTTCTACGTCGGCGCCGACTTCCAGACTGACCTCTTGAAGTTGGCGACCTCCCAAGTCGGCGACCTTGCAAGTCGGCTGTACCTTCCGTACACCCCACCACGAAGTCGGCTCCGCCAAAGCATGGACGGGGCCAACACACAACTCCCGTTGACACTCCCCTGCCGCGTTCACGCTTGGCCCCCCCAAGTCCACTCGGCAGTACTCCTCGGAGAATAGCTCGTCGACGTGCACCCAACACACAGCACGTCGTCCACCGCACCAGCCATGCAAGAGGGCATGGCACCTACTGCTGCACGTTGTCATCTTCGTCGCCCACGTCGGCCAAGCGCACCTGGCCGATGGCGACGGAGCACCGGTTGAAGGCCGGATAGTGCAGCGCCTTCGTCAGGAAGTCGGCCGGCTGCTCAGTGGTCGGGATGTACCTCAGCGAGAACTTCCCGCGCTTCACCATGTGCTGCAGCCAGGCCTGTCGCCGCTCCATGTGCTTGAGGTTGCCCGTCAACCCCATGCCCTCGACGACTGTGATGGCCGACTTGTTGTCCACCCGAAGGACGGTCGGCTTCCCGGCATCCAGCTGCCGGAACTCTGCAAGGAGGAAGGGAAGTCGGCGTCCTTCCTTGCCGGCCTCGGTGGCTGCCACGTACTCCGACTCAGTCGATGACAACGTCGCACACTTGATGCGCTGGCTCGACCAGGAGACTGCGGCCCCTCCATAGACGAACACGTAGCCACCCGTGCTCGTCCTATTCTGCTTGTCACCGGCGTCGTCGGCGTCCACGTAGCCGACCAGCTCCAGCGACTCAGGTCCACCGCCGAACTCCAGTGCGGTGTCGCGCGTATTGGCGAGGTAGGCGAGGCAGCGGTCGACCTCGCGCCAGTGCTGGTCGCTCCTCAACGTGAGGCCGCTCCCCAGCTTGCTGCACGCGAAGGCGATGTCCGGCCTCGTCGTCGTTGCCGCGAACTGCAGCGAGCCGACCTTCTGCCGGTACTCCTCTTCCTGCCGCTCCTGTGCCTCCTCGTCATCAAACGTGAGCTCGGCGTAGGCATCGACCGAGACCGGCGTCTTCGGGGTGCGCCCGGTCTGCTCCTCGTCGATGAAGCGCCTACGAAGCTTGTCGGCGTAGCCCTGCTGGTGCAGCCACAGCTTCCCCGCCGACCTGTCGCGGACGATCTCCAGCCCAAGGTACTTCTGCACCGGCGAGATCTCACGCAGCTCGAAGGCGGCTTCCAGAAGTTCCTTCAGCTCCTTCAACATCGCGGCGCTACTGCTGGCGGCAAATAGGTCGTCGACGTAGACCAGCACCCAGCAGGCCACTCCATCCTAGTCCAGGAGCTTGCTTGGTCCAGAAGCCTGCCTGGTCCAAGAGCTTGCCTGGTCGAGGAGCGTGCCTAGTCCAAGAGCTTGCGTGGTTTAGGAGCTTGCCTGGTCCAGGAGCTTGCTTGGTCTAGAAGCGTGCCTGGTCGAAGAGCTTGCCTGGTCGAGGAGCGTGCCTGGTCCAAGAGCTTGCGTGATCCAAGAGCTTGCCTGGTCTAGGAGCTTGCTTGGTCCAGGAGCGTGCCTGGTCTAGGAGCTTGCCTGGTCCAGGAGCTTGCCTGGTCCAAGAGCTTGCCTGGTCCACGAGCCTGCCTGGTCCAAGAGCTTGCCTTGTCCAAGAGCGTGCCTGGTCCAAGAGCTTGCGTGGTCCAGGAGCTTGCCATGTCCAGGAGCTTGCCCTGTCCAGGAGTGTGCCTGGTCCACGAGCCTGCCTGGTCTAGGAGCTTGCATGGTCCAGGAGCTTGCCTTGTCCAAGAGCTTGCTTTGTCAAGGAGCTTGCCTGGTCGAGGAGCTTGCGTGGTCCATGAGCTTGCCTGGTCCAGGAACTTGCCTGGTCTAGGAGCTTGCCTGGTCCAGGAGCTTGCCTGGTCCAGGAGCTTGCCTGGTCCAAGAGCGTGCCTGGTCTACGAACTTGCCTAGTCCAGGAGCTTGCCTGGTCTAGGAGCTTGCCTGGTCCGAGAGCTTGCCTGGTCCAAGAGCTTGTATGGTGCAGGAGCTTGTCTGGTCCTGGAGCTTCCGTGGTCCAGGAGCGTGCCTGGTCCACGAGTTTGCCTGGTCCAGGAGCTTGCCTGGTCCAAGACCTTGCATGGTCTAGGAGCTTGCCTGGTCCAGGAGCGTGCCTGGTCCAGTTGCTTGCCTGGTCCAGGAGCTTGCCTGGTCCAGTATCTTGCCTGGTCCAGGAGCGTGCCTGGTCCACGTGTTTGCCTAGTCCAGGAGCTTGCCTGGTCCATGAGCTTGCCTGGTCCATGACCTTGCCTGGTCCAGGAGCGTGCCTTGTCCAGGAGCTTGCCTTGTCCAGGAGCTTGCGTGGTCCAAGAGCCTACTTGGTCCAAGAGCTTGCCTGGTCCAGGAGCTTGCCTAATCCAGGAGCTTGCCTGGTCCAGGAGCTTGCTTGGTCCAGGAGCGTGCCTAGTCCAAAAGCTTGCCTGGTCCTAGAGCTTGCGTGGTCCAGGAGCTTTCCTGGTCCAGGAGCGTGCCTGGTCCATGAGCTTGCCTGGTCCAGGAGCGTGCCTGGTCCAGGAGCGTGCCTAGTCCACGAGCTTGCCTGGTCTGAAGCGTGCTTGGACCAGGAGCGTGCCTGGTCCAGGAGCTTGCCTGGTCTAGGAGCTTGCCTGGTCCAAGAGCTTGCCTGGTCCACGAGCCTGCCAGGTCCAAGATCTTGCCTTGTCCAAGAGCGTGCCTGGTCTAAGAGCTTGTGTGGTCCAGGAGCTTGCCGGGTCCAGGAGCTTGCCCTGTCCAGGAGCGTGCCTTGTCCACGAGCCTGCCTGGTCTAGGAGCTTGCATGGTCCAGGAGCTTGCCTTGTCCAAGAGCTTGCCTTGTCCAGGAGCTTGCCTGGTCCAGGAGCTTGCCTGGTCCACAAGCTTGCCTAGTCCAAGAACTTGCCTGGTCCAAGAGCTTGCCTGGTCCAGGAACTTGCCTGGTCCAGGAGCTTGCCTGGTCCACAAGCTTGCCTAGTCCAGGAACTTGCCTCGTCAAACAGCTTGCCTGGTCCAAGAGCTTGTGTGGTCTAGGAGCTTGCCTGGTCCAGGAGCGTGCCTGGTCCACGAGCTTGCCTGGTCCAGGAGCTTGCCTAGTCCAGGACCTTGCCTGGTCTAGGAGCTTGCCTGGTCTAGGAGCGTGCCTGGTCCAGGAGCTTGCAAGGTCCAGTTGCTTGCCTGGTCCAGGAGCTTGCCTGGTCCAGGAGCTTGCCTGGTCCAGGATCTTGCCTGGTCCAGGAGCGTGCCTGGTCCACGAGTTTGCCTGGTCCATTAGCTTGCGTGGTCCATGAGCTTGCCTGGTCCAAGAGCGTGCCTGGTCCACGAGCGTGCCTGGTCTAGGCGCTTGCGTGGTCCACGAGCTTGCCTAGTCCAGGAGCTTGCCTCATCCAGGAGCTTGCCTGGTCTAGGAGCTTGCCTGGTCCAGGAGGTTGCCTGGTCCAGGAGCTCGCCTGGTCCAGGAGCGTGCCTGGTCCAGGAGCTTGCCTGGTCCAGGAGCTTGCTTGGTCCAAAAGCCTGCGTGGTCCAAGATCTTGCCTGGTCGAGGAGCGTGCCTGGTCCAAGAGCTTGCCTCGTCCTGGAGCTTGCCTGGTCCAGGAACTTGCTTGGTCCAAAAGCGTGCCTGGTCCAAGAGCTTGCCTGGTCCAGGAGCGTGCCTGGTCCAAGAGCTTGCGTGGTCCAGGAGCTTGCCTGGTCCACGAGCTTGCCTGGTCCAGGAGCGTGCCTGGTCCATGAGCATGCCTGGTCCAAGAGCGTGCCTGGTCCAACATCGTGCTTGGTCCACGAGCGTTCCTGGTCCAGGAGCTTGCGTGGTCTAGGAGCTTGCCTTATCCAGGAGCTTGCCTGGTCCAAGAGCTTGCCTGGTCCAGGAGCCCGCCCGGTCCAAGAGCTTGCCTGGTCCATGAGCTTGCCTGGTCCACGAGTGTGCCTGGTCCAGGAGCTTGCCTGGTCCAGGAGCTTGCCTAGTCCCAGAGCTTGCCTGGTCCGGGAGCTTGCCTGGTCCAGGACCTTGCCTGGTTCAGGAGCTTGCTTGGTCCAAAAGCTTGCCTGGTCCAATGGCTTGCCTGGTCCGGGAGCGTGCCTGGTCCAAGAGCTTGCGTGGTCCAGGAGCTTGCCTAGTCCAGGATCTTGCCAGGTCCACGAGCTTGCCTGGTCCAGGAGCTTGCCTACTCCAGGAGCTTGCCTGGTCCAGGAGCTTACCTGGTCTAGGAGCATGCCTGGTCCAGGAGCTTGCCTGGTCCAGAAGCTTGCTTGGTCCAGAAGCATGCCTGCTCCAAAAGCTTGCTTGGTCCAGTAGCGTGCCTGGTCCACGAGCGTGCCTGGTTCAGGAGCTTTCCTGGTCC